ACAACAGAAAACAGAAAATTTACTTTTAGCTTTAAAAAATACCATATTTTTTCAAAATTATTTTTTTTTATATTATTTATGTTCGGATTAATTATATTTTATTAAAATTTAGTTATAAAAGTTTAGTTAGTAAAGTTTAGAAGAGTTTATAAGTCAAAATATTTTTTAGTGTTTAGAATTTTAAAATATAAAGTTTAAAAATTTATAATTAATAATATTTTTGTAAATAAATATTTTACAATAGCATTTTTACAAATATGAATGTGGCATTTTTGCAATTTCCCCCGTGCATTGGTTAAAGAAGTTAACCGTGTAAACCCCGGTTAACAAAAAATAATGACGGATAATTCAATGAACCACACTGATAACCGAGAAAGTATACTAAACCAGGAATATATGTACCCAACTGGATTTTATTAATTTATAATAGAGCTACGGTAATAGTCAACTAAGAGTTGAAAATTTTGAAAATTAAATAACGGAAGCATGTGGGTAGTACTGGGGGGTAGTTGTTAAAGTGACAGGTGGGTGACGTTAACAAATAGTACCTTTTTTTGCAATGGCACTTGCCGTGACCGGAGCCGGAGATCTTGCCGGAGAAATCTTCGGAGTGTTCGTGCTCAAGGCATCTCTTTCTGTAAGGATGACCGGCTAGCGGTGGCTTCCCGGAGGAGGTTACAGGCTGCGACGGAGCCGACGCGAGGAAGATTGAAGATCCTTTGGAGACGCTACCGTCGCCGGTGATCGCCGACGAGATGTAGGATGAGTTTAGAGAAACACTGAAGTTTTCTTTTGCGAATTCAAGCTCAGAGCTCTTTGATTTGGATCCGAAAATGCTTGGTTTAGTGAAATCGAGTGTTACGCTCGGTTGATTCGAATGAACAAAGCTCGACGACGGTGGAGGAACGAGATTCGTCGGTTTTCTAATCGGTTGAGAAACAATCGGAGCTTCAGATTGAGCGATTTTCACGATCTGACTCGGAGGAGGAGGAGAGGAATGAACCGGACCGCGTCTAAACCGAGCATGACCGGTTCGATTAAGAAGAGAAATAACGGTTTTGAATTTGGAAACGGTGAAATCAGTGATATCAGAGCAATCAACGTTCTTGTGTTGTTCAGGACGATTGGAGAGGACACGAATCAGATGCTCCATACTCTGTATACCTTGCGATGCAGCTTCTTGAATAGCTTTTTGATCGTCGATCTTAGGGAAACGCATTAAATCAACGGCCATGGTTATTAACTGATCTGATCTGGACTGAGAAATCAGAGAGACGTT